AAAGACCATGGTGAAACTAAGAGTGAGATATGTTCACTGAGAAGTGACAAAGACCATGGTGAAACTAAGAGTGAGATATGTTCACTGAGAAGTGACAAAGACCATGGTGAAACTAAGAGTGAGAGATGTTCATTGAGAGGTGACAAAGACCGTGGTGAAACTAAGAGTGAGAGATGTTCACTGAGAAGTGACAAAGACCGTGGTGAAACTAAGAGTGAGAGATGTTCACTGAGAAGTGACAAAGACCGTGGTGAAACTAAGAGTGAGAGATGTTCATTGAGAAGTGACAAAGACCATGGTGAAACTAAGAGTGAGATATGTTCACTGAGAAGTGAAAAAGATTGTGATAAAACTTACAGACAGTAAGACTTGCGATTTATTTTGTACAATTGAGACCCAAATAGTAAGCTCCAAGTAGACCTGGAATTGAGGCTTATTTTTTGGTTGCTGTATTAATATGCTGAAAACTATGATGTAATTTGATTAAAACACAACTATTCGTCAAACGTAACGTATAGTTTAGTATATCTATAGTTCTTGTAGATATTAACGTCATAGTTCGTACTTACTGTGTCCATCAACATATTTAACAAAATACCAAAGATAAAGCGCCACCTACCGAGGGCACATCCGGGTCTGTGGCCAGCAAGAGCGCGCTTGAATTCCATACAGGACTGCCCATAGCGGGAGAAAAAGGGGTCTTCAGGTGGGATGTCGATGGTCATGCAGTTCGGATGCTGTTGCTCCTTGGGTATCCCACAACAAACAAAGTCAAGGTCGTTCTCATCTGAAAAATGAAAAATAATTATTATTTTACCCTTTCAGCTAAAGAAGCGCCACAGCGAGGGAGAAATTTGGAGTCAAAGAATTAAATCTTTGTGAAAAATTGGGACACGTTGGTTTGATACGTGTGTGTACTTTTCCCAATTCAGTTTCAACGAGCTATTATTGGTGTGACTTAACGTAACCTATAGATACAATTTACATATTAGATACGTTACCAGTGATGTGACGTGACCTAATCTATAGCTACTATTTAAATATTAGCTACTTACTAGTGATGTGACCTTATCTAACCTATAGTTACAATTTGAATATTAGCTACGACACTAGTGATGTGACCTAACCTAACCTTACAATATTTGAAATTAACGTAAATACTTTATTAAATCAGTTTTTAAACTTGTCTGAATCTATTGATCATTCAACACACACACATAGACGTTGTAGTAATCTTGTATATGATGACACAAAGATAAGTTTTAAACTTGTTTTCGTATATGGATCATTCAGTACATATAAAGACGTCATAGCCATCTTGTATATGATGACACAAAGATAAGTTTTAAACTTGTCTTCATATATGGATCATTCAGTACATATATAAAGACGTCATAGCCATCTTGTATATGATGACACAAAGATAAGTTTTAAACTTGTCTTCATATATGGATCATTCATTACATATATAAAGACGTCATAGCCATCTTGTATATGATGGCACAAAGATAAGTTTTAAACTTGTTTTCGTATATGGATCATTCAGTACATATAAAAACGCTCTGTTTTAAACTTGTCTGCTGTTTGTTATTTACCAAAGTGTTAGTTACGTTGATAAATAAGGAACGTGGAGTTCATTAGTCTCTGAATAAAGTGAGGAATTACCAACTGAGTTGATTTTACTTGACCTGAACTTATAGTTTGTTGGAAATATCCAGAAACAGGTTCTATCAATAAGACCTTGTAAACCTTTTTTTAATATTAAACAAATGAAATATCAAGGCAAAGCGTGCTCGTAATTTCGATTGGTAATAGAAATAACTTTAACCTTGAGCGAACACATAGTTTGTCTATAAAGCACAGAGACCACGTGAACGACAAGGTATTTCACGTAAAGGTCCACGAGAAAGTTGTGTTTCCAGAGTCACGCCTATTCTCACTCACAGAAATAGGTCAAGGCGTATACACTTCGGTGTACATGAGCGCAATACCAGAGCGAAGGACACCGAACTTTATTATTTTAACTCAAAAAGAAACATGGACCACACCCCTGGATCTATATCTGTTTAATGAACCAACTTTTTTGGAACAAAATATTTGCCCAAAGACTATGAAACTAGTTTCGACACTTTGGTGTTGTTGTTTTTTTTTCTCTAGTCTTCTGAAACAAACATCTCACCAAATCAATGTAAAACTGGATTTTATTACGCAAAGTATTTCAATAACTTGGGTGAGTTTTAAATAATCGATAAATACAGTTGATACCACTAATAAGAATAAAACCCAGAAAGCACTACAAAGTAAAGGTAATAATATGTACATGGAGGGTAAACCAAGAAAGGTTAACCACAAATGGCTAATCACTAGATATATGTGAAGTTCACTGTTATACACAAAGTACACGACACACAAAACGTTTGTGGTAAAATTGCCATCATTCAGTTTTGAGAAAGCGGATAATGATACATGGTGTACGGTTTGAACCATTTTATCTTATTATCTGTTTACCATGTGATAAAGGTAGGTGATTGAATCATTTTATCTTATTATCTGTTTACCATGTGATAAAGGTAGGGATTGAATCATTTTGTCTTTCTAGATGTCGCTACGTAACATAACGCAATATTTCAATGGCTTCGAAAGTTGCTCCCAATGCATCTTTGTACTACTTAGCAGCCATACTGAAATACAATATGAATACATTACATACGGTAAAGTTTGTTTCTAGAACCAGTAAGTAAGTTCAGACTTTTCATAAGGGTTTTACTTGCTGTTGGTTAGACAAGTCTTTCACCGCACATGATGAAAGGAAATTAAACAAATAGAAAGAATATCGCTTATTGATAATAACAAATTTCAATCAAAATAAATAGTTATCTGGCTTACCTCTAGGTGGCGCTGCGAGTGTCATGTCATGGTCAATAAACTGTCCCCATGACATAAGCAGGATGGAGAGGTCACCAGATGGATGATCAAAGTCACGATGGATGTAGGCACTCACCATCCTGGCGGGTGGAAGTGGACTTCCGTCAACTACCGAAACACGTGGCTCCGAAATACCTGTAAACAAGATTGAACAATATCCACATTTTGATAGTACATATTCAGCGGAAAACGCTTTTACTTGAAGAACTGTGAAAAAGTATTTGTTATTTATTCACTTTGAATTAACAAAACTTCAATGTAAGTGTCATTCAATGAATTAAGTTTATTTAAAAATAATTCTTATTAAAGATAACTATTTCTATATTTGTGTAAAGTTAAGTCTTTTTATGTTGCTTAATCACTATATTTTAAAAGGAGAATGTATGATAATATATTATCATACTACGTCTGCTATATCCACTGTCGATGAGGCCTTTTTGGTCAATACTAGGCTTCATCAGGTCGACTAGGATACAACAGACATATTAGTAGTCTAGGTGCTATATATATATATATATGAATATATTATCAATTTTCATGAACAACGAGTGCTATGGTGTGAACCAGATTAAGCAAGCGATTTGTAATTATTATCAATCTTATTCAAGTCATTTATCAATTAAATTTTTAGGGTAAGGATTAATAACATAACGTCATTTATATTACCTTTATAATTCTAAGCACGTGTGAGTGAAATCAAAGGAAAATATGTTGTAAAGTCTTACTCTGTATATGATTATTTGTGATGATGTCTGTCAGACAGTCACTGCTGAAATGTTTATATATGCAACGACTCATAACGACGCCAGTCAAGTTGAAATATGGCTGTAATGAACAGAAAGGCATTACGTGTATTGAATGCTAGGATAATGTCCGGGAGGTATATTATGGTTGAAATAAGGCTGTAATGAAGAGAAAGGCGTTACGTGTATTGAATGATAGGATAGTGTCCGGGACGTATATTAGGGTTGAAATAAGGCTGTAATGAAGAGAAATGCGTTACGTGTATTGAATGATAGGATAATGTCGGGAAGTATTGTATAGTTGAAATATGGCTGTAATGAAGAGAAAGGCGTTACGTGTATTGAATGATAGGATAATGTCCGGGACGTATATTAGGGTTGAAATAAGGCTGTAATGAAGAGAAAGGCGTTACGTGTATTGAATGATAGGATAATGTCCGGGACGTATATTAGGGTTGAAATAAGGCTGTAATGAAGAGAAAGGCGTTACGTGT